GTGCTCTCAAAGTAAGAGAAACAATTGAGACCGTGCAATTGTGTGTAAATGTGGCAGAAAGTCAGATTAGCAACCTGGGACTTGGTCACAATTTTCGTGATGCCATATGGCAGCAGGGCCTACCATTAGACAATACATTATGCTTCCAATATCTCCCAGGCGGTAGTACCTCCCTGTTTGGTAGCTGCCTACTGCCTACTACAAACGCTCTCTCTATGCCCCATAGTTATAAATTCCGACATAGATCGTCTAGTGCTCCTATTATCTCAGTGTTTAAAAGGTTTAGGAAAGAGATTAGAAGAACCAGTTTTAACATGTCTCGTCCAACCACCCCTCCTCCCACCCAGGTGGTAAACCACACCTATACCAATTTCGACCTCAAGTACCCATTCATTTCAGGGGAATTGAGCGAGATTGGGGCTTGGTTTGCCAACAGTGTAGAATTTGCTAGGTCTAAGTGTTCATGTACGAACCCCACAGATCTTCAGATAATTAATTGTACTCACAATTTAATAGATCACAAGGGTTCCTAGTCTGAGGCCAGGTATACTGCCGAGTATGGGGAGATGAGTAAGATCTCTACCTGGGATGAATTTAAGAAAGCTTGGCGATCAGCCTGTTCAAATGAACGTCAGATTGATTTTTTTCAACGTTGCATGATTATTTGACAACGGAACGGAACTCTGATGAAAAACCCTCACAGTTTTTAGTGCGTGTTGATCTCACAAGACAAAACTTACTTAATTCACTCACAAAGTCTACATGGCTAGACCTACCTTCAGTTAACGGGAGTAACCCTGGGACGAGTGCTGCGTCCATTGTCAAGTTTTTACAATTTAGTGTCATTTTACGTAGTGTTCCTATACAGGTTAGGCGTAAGGTGTCTGGAGCTATTACAACCCCTGATATTACATTGATGGAATTACAGGAACTTATTAATCATTAGGGAGGATTTTCTAAGGAAGCTTTGGTCTGTACAGTGACAAGTAAACCTAAGGACAGCAATGAGTCGTCCACAGGTGCTAAAAAACAGAAACCTAAGAAAACGGGACCAATAGTTTGTCACTTCTGTGGTCTCCCTGGTCATATTAAACCAAAATGTCCAAGCATTAATTCTCACCATATTGTTTCAGCGGCTCCTGGCGGGCGTTCTCCTGCTACGGGTTACAAGCCTATTACACCTTCTGCACAGGGTACGGGTTTCACAACCTTCAGTCACAGCCTAGGAAGAGTCAGTCATCTCCGGCACCAGGGAACAAGTACTGTTTCATCCACAAAGTCCGGACACACGACACACTTGAGTGCTATAGATATCAACAGTTCCTTCAGTCACAGGTGAACCCTAACACAATTGTTTTTCCATAACGGGAAACCTACAGTTTGCCTCCTCAAGTAACCACTTAAATAATGACACTTTATCAGTTTCCGGTACCTGTGATCCACAAGTGTTGTCTTCACCCCAGATCTTTGACGCTTTTCTCCAGGCTCGAGGGAGAACAGGACCCATTATATGGGGTCAGACTAACATTTCAGTCTTTTTATATACAGGTGCTGAAGTTAATGTCATAGATTCTCATATTTTGAATACTTTAGCTACGGATTCCTATTCTTGGACAGACATTCAACTACCTCATATTACAGGTATAGACGGCCCAGGAGTTGACGTTACTGGGGCCATGCAGCTTAAGTTTAAATTGGGTTGTTGTGTTGTTGTTGAGATTGTCGGACCGTAGTCCGACACGGGCCTTTGCCGATAGGCGGCCCGTTTGGTGGTTCCGGCTGGAGCTCCTGGAGCAGCCAGACCGGATTGGGATTGGAGGTGGTCCTACCTGCAGATTTGGAAGGATACTGCAGGTTGCAAGTGTGAGCGGACCCCCGATCAGTGGACGCTTACCACCAACCCCCACTCTTGGACGTGGTCAGTTTCGGAGTGGAGCGCCCCCCGAACTGGGGTCCGCACTTGCTGGGAGAGGATACCTTCTAACCTATCTGGGTGGTGGGTATCGTGTGATGACCCGGAGAAGGTGGTGAATGTGGTTTGTTTGGGCCTTTCGGGTTAGAGTAGCCGCTGGTGTTGTGTGTGCTTCCTGGGAGATTTGAGTTCTGTTTCGGAGGCTTTGTGTGACTTCGCAGTCGAGGAGATAGTGTTCAAGTGGGTTGGCTGCTGGCTCCTGACAGTAGGTGCATTCCATGACGTCATTTCCGATCATCTGCCAGGAGCACTTGTACCCTAGTCGTAGTCGATGAAGGCTAACTTGGGTTTGTCTTGGTGTTTTCTTGTCCGCGAAAGGTGGTTCCCCTTTTGTAGCCGCCAGGTACCATTTGGCTGATTGGGAACCAGCGTTGAATGCGTGAAGGAAGCTCTTTTTGATGTGGAGCTTGCTAGTATTTCTGAGGTGATTCTTGATCTGTTGCACGCTTGCTGGAACTTGAATGTGTACGCTACTAGAACGTGTAGCTGCCTTGGCTGCTTCGTCTGCCACGTCGTTTCCTCCGATCCCTACATGACTGGGAATCCAGTGTAAGACGACTGGGCGGTTTTGTCTTTGGAATTCCTGTAGCTGTGCGAGGATCGAGGTTATGATGTGGACATTGTCTCTTGGTTGACTGTGTTGCAGCGCCTGCATGGCCGATTTCGAGTCCGTGTGAATTATGATGGACTTGTTGTGTTGTGTTGCAGCGTGTTGTAGGGCCTTTGAGATTGCTACCAGCTCTGTTTGTAGGGTGGAGCAGTCATTAGAAAGTCTCCATCGGAGGGTCTGACCTTGGGTGCAGAAGGCCGCTCCGGATATATGATGTTTTGGATCCACCGAGCCGTCTGTGAAGTATGATGCTGCATCAGCCGGTGTCTCGGTGGCTATGGCTTCCAGAGTTATTTTTTTGAGGTCCTCCTTCTGGAGGTTGGCTTTGCTATCACCTAGGTCGGTAATGTTGAATGTGGCTGGTGGAGAGCTCCATGGTGGAGGAACTACGTAACCATTGTCTCGTGTGTCTTGGTTGTTCTTGACGAGTGTTTCTCCTTGCAGGTGTCGGATGACCTCGCTTGCCTCGTGCGACCAGGTGGCCCCTCGCACTCTGTGGTCCAGGTGGAGGGAGGCACTGATTCGAATTTTGGCAGCTGTGGGCTAATCTGAACTACAGATTTTGGCGAGGAGACCGGCTGTCACCTGCTTGACTCGTACTGCCAGGGGTGGTAGTTCAGTTTCCATTTGCAAATTGCAAATTCTGGTCCACATGGGTGCTCCGAGCATGGTCCTGAGAGCATTATTTTGGATGACTTCTAGCTTAGCTATTTGGTCTTCTCTCAGTCCAATGAGTGCTGGAGCACTGTAATCTACCAGCGATCTGATGGCGGCCGTGTAGTAGGCTTTGAGCGCATGAAGGTTTGCTCCTGCGGTTGTCCTGGTGAGCGACCTCATTATATTGTGTCTGCTCTTCGTCCTGTGCCTGAGATACTCGAGTTGCGGCTTGAAAGTGAGTTTCTGGTCAAACCAGATTCCAAGACACTGGTGGGTGTTGGTCCAGACTACCGTCGTGTTTTGTATGGAGAGCATCTTGTCTGGTGTGTCTGTGCAGATGGCCATCGCTTTCGACTTGGCTGGATTTATCTTGAGTCCAAGTTTGTTGCACTCCTCTTCTGTAAGTTGGAGTGCGTGTTGCGTGTTGGCTAGTCTGTTTGATCCTCTTATTATAAGCTGTAAGTCGTCTGCATAGCATAGGAGCTTGGCTGTTTGTCTGAAAGGAAGTTTGACAAGATTTTCCATCAGGACATTGAACAGCATTGGACTGAGGATGCCTCCTTGTGGGGTTCCGTTTTCATGGACCCTGTAGCTTGAGGTTGCTCTCTACTCTTGCTTCTCTCTGTGTGAGGTAGTTCTGGATCCACCCCAGCAACCTTCCTTTGACGCCTTTTTCAGCGAGCGTCGTTGTAATGGCCAGTGGATTTGCTAGTTCGAAGGCCTTCTCCAGGTCGAGGAAGACCACCAGAGCTGGTTTGTAGTCCACTGTGCTGAGTATCTCGGCGATGTTGTTGCCTGTGCCGGTGTTCTCGGTGTAAGCAAAAATGTGAGGGTGTGGGCTGCCTACTTTCCACTTGAGTCGGTTGAGAGCCATTCTTTCTCCCGTCTTCGCTATGCAGCTGAGAAGGGAGATGGGCCTTGGTTTGTCTGGTTCTCTGGGCTTCGGAATGGGCTGTATATCTGCCTTCTTCCATGTTGCGGACGGAATTTACATTCCTGGGCATTTGTTAGTCGGCTTCCCAAAGATGAAAGCCCACCGATAGTAATAGTCCCTCATGAGAATTTAATTACTGTCAACCAAGAAATCGTTAGCTTAGCCGCGTATTTACGTCAAATTCCTAATACCGTACAGAATTACAGATTAACCGACGCGTCGTCCGAAGTTAACGAGGTTCCTGTCCCGATTAATTTAGATAGATAGATTCCCTCACACGGAAATGACCAATTAGGTGAAGTCTTCAATTCAGCGGTGGGGGTTGGCCCACAAGTTAACACTTATTACTTCTCTGGCGTGTGCTCAGGAAAACTAACACATGATGTACAATTGAGCCCTGATCAGTTAACCACAGTTTCCCTCAAGCTAGACACTAACTGGTTAGAGCAGTGTTTCTCAAACTTTTCACTCCATTCCCCCCATGAGGAACACTCAACAATCCTCGTGACCCCCCTTCAGTTCTTTCCCAAGTCCCTCACAAATAATGATGAAAATAAACTGTTTTGGTACTCTTCCTTTATTTTAATGTTTTCAATCATCAAACAGAATGCATATTTTGTTACAGTTCAATGGGATGGATGACATTGTTTCCTTTCAGTCAGTCGGTTGATTCGAGGTTGAGTCACTGATAAAGCACCTCTCATGTCTGGGTCCACATGTAACCGGTTTCGGATTTTATTCTTTAATTGAAGAAGGATGGAGAAACCAGATTCACATAAATAAGTAGTAGAAAATGACAAAATGACTCGAAGTGCGATCTCACTAACTTTTGGATATGACTGATACATTGAGCACCAGAAAACAGTCAGATATTTTTCTTCATAGAGGTCTCTGACAGCAGATTCGTTCCTGAGATCAAGGAATTCGTGCTGACCATCGTCGGGAATGACAGCAATATCAAGAGTGCCAGAGAAAGGATTCCTCACCAATTTCCTTTCTTTCTCGAATTTTGGGAAGTACCTTTTGAGCTCACTTTCCAAAGATTTCAAGTGTTGAATTATAAAATTTTTGAGTGATGGGTCAAGTAGATGATCCTCTTCAATCTCGTCAAGAACAATTGAGATATTCTCAAACATGGCAAAATTTCCTGCACTGACTTTCCTTTGCCAGTTCTGGAGTTTGTCAAGAAATGCACGAATACAGTCAATGTGGTGAAACACATTTCTTTCCTTGCCTTGTAGCTTGAGATTCAGCCTGTTTAGCTGCTCAAATATGTCTGCCAGGTACGAAAGACGTGGCTCCCACAACACCTCGTTGTAGTGACTTAGTAGATCATCCTTCCCTTTCATTTCCAGGAACAACTTATGTTCTCCCCGAAGTTCGAACACTCGATTCACATCATTACCCGTGGAAAGCCATCGTACTTTGGAGTAAAAGAGGAGGGCTTCATGCTCTGAATCCATGCCTCTACAGAGGTTCTGGAAAAAGCGAGAGTTCAAATCTCCTGTTTTCACAAAGTTGACGCATTTTACCACTGCCTCCAGGATCTTGCAGAGGGCATCAGGGAGGGTTTTCGACGCCAGTGTAAAACGATGGATCACACAATGAACCCCTTTGGCAATCAGAGCTACTTCCTTGAAGTGCTTCTGTAACCCCGATTTCGATCCCAGCATCGTCGGGGCCCCATCAGTACAGCCTCCACAGATTTTTTTCCAGGTGATCCCGTTAGTTGTGAAGAGAGAAGTCAACTTTTCCATCACATCTAAAGCTGTTGTGGTAGTTTCAAGCTGTATACAGAACAGATATTCATCCTTGATGTCACGCAGGAATACATACCTAACAAACGCAAGTAGCTGTGCACAAGAACTCACACCCGTTGACTCATTCAACTGTATTGTGAACATACCAGTTGGAGACGGTTTAATCTCCTGTATCACTTGTTCCATGATATCATCTAACATTTCACTAATTCTCCGTTTCACCGTGACGCCTGACAAGGAAATCTGTTGAATCTTACGTTCACTTGCCTCTCCAAGAACTTGCTGACCATCTCTAAAGCACATGGCTTAATTAAAGTTTCACCAATCGTGTGGGCCTTCTTCTTCTTTGCTATTTCAATGGAAACCTCATATTATGCCTCAACTACACTTAAGTTCTGCTTTTGGAAGGCACCACTCTCATCCAGTCTCTGTTTTCCCAAACTCCGTTCATGACGCTTGAAGAAATCGGGGTCCCTCTCCGCATACTGGGGGTGGATTGTCGTCAGATGATGCTTCAGCTTACTAGGCCTCATGGAATCGTTTCCCAGCACTTTGAAACACAACACACACTGAGGTTTCTCGTTGGGATCAGCGAGGATTGATGTAAATCCGTAGTTCATGTATTCATCACTGTACTTCTGCTTCTTAGCAACACTGGCAATCATCGTAATTCTAAGGAAATATAAAAAAATGAAATGATTGTTTATCAGACCATAGCTTACAGAGCAGAGATGAACAGCATATATAACAGTAACTAGATGCCCACTTGGTAACCCATGTAGGTTGACACAACCTACAGTGAGATGAAGACCTGACCCAAGAGAGCTGATGGCCACAAAGAACTTGAGTTAACCCTGCGATATAACTGTGTTACAACTACACCTGGACAAGCTGTCCAAACCTGACCCAAGAGAGGTTAGTCTCATTGACCCAGAGTCCTCACCGCCGCGCGATTAGCTTAACCCGGCGACATGACCGTGTTAAAGAAACCACACCTAGCTAAGACACACCAAAGTGGTAATAATTTGGAAGCATTACCGACCAGCGACATGACCACGCACCTAGACAAACACATTTGTCCAGATGTAACCAGTTTAGTGTTAATTAGGAGAGGTCATCTGCCAGCTCTCCTCCAATATAAAGGCCCTGCAGCTCATGTCCACGGCATGATTTCCACATCACTATCGACAGAAGACGGAGTCACGCTCGTCACTAGTCGAGGTCGGGAGGGAGACTTCCCTCCCGAGCACCGCGTCTCCAGCGAGCAGAGTCTCCCATAGGAGACATAGTCCAGCACTCCCTTCAACAGCACCTGCTGAGCCTCCCTCAGGTCACACGTGAGTCATTGTCAGAGCTATCCATAGGGTGAGTTACTTACGGTGGGAAGTGTATTCATTTCATTTTTGTGTCCGAGAGTCAGTGTCTATCAACGTAAATATAATGTTCTAGTAACTTCGATATTAGGTTCTATTAATGTGTGCGCGTCATTGAGTGAATAATAAATAGTTGTATTGAAAGCGGTGTTGAGAAGGATTTCCCCTAAGAACGTATTTACAGTTAAATAACTAACCAGCCACGCTACCAAACTTCCTCACTTTACAATCCTACAACTATAAATATTCTACCTATATCTTCTATACGAGTGTTGACTTGTTACAAAAATATTGCCAAAGAGACAGAAATAGACGAATTATACAGACTAAAAATTTTAATAATAAAACACAGAAATATAAGACAATCATGAATCTCCTGGTTTTACTAAAAAAATTATCTTTCTCTCTCTCTCCCTTTCTAAATGTTGACTAGTTCTTTAAAAAAACACAAAATGTCACAGAAACAGACGAATGATAAAGACTAAAAATAAATAATGAAAAACAAAAATGAGAAAATAATCCGAATGGCAAACACACAAACATGCATGAAGTCAATTCATAATGTATGTAAACATACATAAAATGCCTATGCAATCACACGTAAAACCTACACATACAGTCCAATCACAGTACACTCACATATTTTCCTAATGATATCTTTAGCAAGACTGAGAACATTCGGTCTGATCACCACTAGTAAAGCGATGACACACGGACATGTACAGAACATGTGACATCAGTGACTCAGTCCAGCGCCCGTCACCCTGCTGACAGGAACTAGAATCATGCAATCTGAGCGAATCCGTTTGAAATGAAAAACTAGCTGCTGCACCATAGTATGTAAATATCAAAACTGTACCGTACAGGTATTGTGTTTGCACACAATGGCAATAAAAAAGACAAATAAAAAAACCCGATTTCTCCCCTAACAAGGCAAAGTAACAAAACAAAAAAGTTGAATCACAGTTTCCACATTATCTCCAAACATATACTACTTACACTAGCCCGCTATGGCCCCCTAAAATCTTGCCAAAGCCAGACGGTACCTGGAGGCCTTACGTAGACTATCGTCGTCTTAACCGTTTCCCGATGCCCTTGTTGGGAGATCTGTTGAAGAGTCTAGGTCATAGTAAAGTTTTTTCAACCCGGGACCTGCTATCAGGTTTCTGGCAAGTGCCATTGGACGAGGAAAGTCGACCCTTAACGGCCTTCAGTACACCCTCGGGACATTGGGAATTCCTGTGCATGCTTTTGGACTACAAAGTAGCCCATTTACGTTTTCAAAGTTGATGACAAGTATCTTTCGTTCCATATTAGGCTCTGAAGTCCTAGTGTACCTGGATGACATAATTGTCATGTCTCCAGATGTGTCCTCACACCTCGTGAGACTGGAACATGTGTTAGCTATACTACAAGATGCTAATTTAAAGTTAAAATTGTCAAAATGCAAGTTTTTATAACCTAGAATAAAATATTTAGGGCATGTGGTTGACCAAGGCAGAGTTAGTGTTGTTGATAACAAAGTTGAGGCCATCCGTAAATATCCTATACCAAAGTCTGCAGATGATGTACTCTTTTTCATTGGTATTGTAAGGGCTGTAACGAGCGGGATGGTTGTCCGCCGCTCATTTGCTTGTTCGCGGCTCCACTAGGGGGGTAGACGGAGGTGAGAATGTCGCTGCAGCTTCGTCACACATCAGACACTACCCAGCCGTTAACACAGTTGTACTTGCACCCCGCTGTTCGTTCAAATTCTGGTTGTGTGCTCATTTGAGGCTCCTGGGGCTCGTGGGTTTCACTATTCGGCTGTCAACCTCCGGACACCTGCTCCAGCTACTACCGCGGCTGTCACGTCATCGCCACTTCCTCCAAGCCCTATCCACCGTCCATGCCCTGTGTGGCCCACCAAACGCCGGCGACAAGTGAGGAAGCTGCCCTGGACCTTCCCCCTGAGAGCTGACCACAGCGTCAACGGAACATTCCACCAGGCTGCCGCCGTAGGAAATATAAGAACATAAGAACATAGGAATGGAGGAAACTGCAGCGGGCCTATTGGCCCATACTGGGCAGTCCCGTTTATACCCAACCCCTGTTGCTCATATAAGCATCCAACCTATGTTTGAAGCTATTCAGCGTATTCGAGTTAATGATGATATTTGGTAACTTGTTCCATTCATCCACTACTCTGTTTCCAAACCAGTGTTTACCTATTTCACGCCTAAATCTAAATTTGTCTAATTTAAAACCATTGTTACCGGTTCGCTCCTGGTTGGATACTCTGAGCACCTTTGTAATGTCCCCTTTGTTTAGCCCTGCCTTACACTTACACACCTCTATCAGGTCGCCCCTCGCTCTACGTCTCTCGAGGGAGTGCAAATTAAGATGCTTTAACCTGTCACTATACTCAAGGTTCCTAATGCCCGGGATTAGTCTTGTCATTCTCCTCTGAATTCTTTCCAAGGATTCTATATCCATTCTGTAATACGGTGACCAGAACTGAACTGCGTAATCCAGGTGTGGTCTCACAAGAGCAAGATACAGTTTAAGGATGATTTCGCTAGTCTTGTAACTAACACTCCTTTGTATGAACCCAAGTACTTTATTAGCCTTGTTACGAGCAAAAACACATTGTTTACTTGGCTCAAGGTTTCTACTTATCATTACTCCTAAATCTCTTTCTCAGTCGGATTTCTCTATGGCATCGTTGTTCATCTGGTATCTGGTTTCCCTGTTTACATCTCCTATACTGAGTACTTTACATTTGTCAACTTTGAATTTCATCTGCCATTTTTCAGACCATTCGAAATTTTTTTTTAGATCTTCCTTTAGTTTTGTGGAGTCCTCGTCAGATTTAATAACGCGTCCTATTTTAGTGTCATCAGCAAATTTGCTTATGTTGCTGTCTATGTGGATATCTATGTCGTTTATGTATATAATAAATAATGATGGTCCGAGGACTGAGCCTTGGGGAACTCCACTTGTGACGTTGCTCCAAAGGGACTTAGTGCCATTAATGCTCGCTCGCTGTTTCCTGTCCTGTAACCACGCCCTAATCCATTTAAGGATATTACCTTTGATGCCATGTGCTTCTACCTTTCTAATTAGTCTTTCGTGGGGGACTCTGTCGACGGCTTTGCTAAAGTCGAGATATACCACATCATAATTATGCCCCTCGTCCACCGATTCGAAAACTGATAAAAAGAATGTTAATAGATTAGTTAGACATGAACGTCCGCTTGTGAAGCCATGCTGGGAATCATTGATCAATCGGTGCTTCTCCAGGTGATTTCGAATAGAGTTTGAAATGATTGCTTCCAGTAATTTGCCTACTATTGATGTTAGACTGATTGGGCGGTAGTTAGAGGATAGTGATCTATCCCCTTCTTGAAAATCGGTATTACATTCGCTATCCTCCAGGATTCTGGTACTACACCTGTTTTTAAGGACATGTTAAACAACTTTGCTAAGGGCATACTAAGCTCTTCCTTACATTCCTTTAATACTCTGGCAAATATCTCATCAGGACCTGGTGACTTATTAGGCATTAGTTTGTCTATTTGCTTACTAACATCATTACTAGTCACTACTATCTCTCTTAATTTGTTTTCTTCACTATCTCTGAATAGAGTCGGTGCCTCGGGTATCATGTTTAAATTTTCGGTGGTGAAAACTGTTGAAAAATATTTATTCAAATTATTGCTCATTTCTCTGTCGTTATCAGTGAGCTCACCGGTATCTGACCGTATTGGTCCAATCTTTTCTCGTGTTTTAGTTTGATACATTTGGTAGAATCCTTTGGGGTTTGTCTTCGCCTCCCTTGCTATCCTTACCTCATTATTCCTCTTGGCTTTCCTTATCTCAGTTTTAACCCTACCCGCCAATCCCCTATAATAATCCCGGAGGTAAATTTCGCCACGATTTATCCTTCTA